ACACACACACACACACACACACACACACACACACGCGCACAACTGGGGAATGAATGTTATGGGGGCTTATCAGTGTCCTTAGGGGCCTGGCAACCACTTCACAGACTCAGATCCCAGAGCCAAGGCCACAGAGACAAACCTATGTGACCAGAGTACTGATGAACAAATGCTCTGTGCTGTTAGTGACTCTTCTATAGAAGCAGCAGGCTGCAGGGCACGCCAACAATGAACATATATATACTGTATATGTACACATATGTCACAATGGCAGGCAGTGGTGGATAGCCACTCGAAAAAAGAAAAATTGCACGAAAAGACCAAAGGCAAGCAGCATTCGTTATGTTTACACTACATTTACTGATAGTGACAAAAAGCCTGGCGGCCTGCAGCACTACACCCGGAGCCTGATTTTCAGGTTAGTAAGCAGAGAGTATAGCTGGTATATTAATAATGTTCAACCTGCACTACAACTCAACACTAATTGACAGTCAGAATAAGCACATGAAAAAAAAAATCAAAAAAAAAAAAAAAATCAGGCCGTGCTAGTTCATTTTAAAATATATGTGATTTAAATTAAATATATCTCTCCTTGGGCTCTCAAAGAAAATTGTGAAGAATTACCATCACATTTTCTCAGAGTTCCAGGCGTCTAGACCAGCAGTCTAAAACCTAAAGATAATCTATACTTACAATCATAGCAGACTTTGAACACCAGCAAATATTCACATTTTAAGAAGCTGGAAAAAGAGAATTTAAACAATTAATCAACTATGAAAACTCCTACAGATGCTGATCAATGTCTGGCTTCTGCTATAATCCCTCCTTTAATCAAGCTTTGCATAATACAAAGAACATTATTTTAATTTTCTCCTCATTAACTAGAAGCTAACCCCCCCTCCCCCGTTTTCCCTCGTGTCCTAAGTAAATCATTGAGCACCAAACACGTCAGAGGAAGTCAAGTTTTGACAAGGCCATTGCAGGCCGATGATGTTGGCAGCGGTTTGGCACAGGAATTCAGGAAGTGGTGCCTCCTAACTGAGCTGTGCTTCCTGTGTGATAACTGACCCAAACATGTTGTGCCTCTATCACACACACGCACACACATAAAGACAAAGCGCGCTCAGACACTGTGAGCATACCAAGACTCTTTCAACTACACTGCGGATTAATGGGATTAAAATGTAGGCGCTCAATGACGTTTATTTCCTTGGATGCGATTTGTTCACATTTGTACACAAAACCTAAATGCCAGCGTGATCTTCAACAGAGGAGGACTGAGGGTGAGTGCAGGTGTGCAAACGGTGTTTACAGCTCGAGTTTGACATTCGTGAGGAGGAGGCTGCTGTTCAGCAGCAACAGAAAAGACTGAATTCACTACCGGTGGTTAACTTCAACCTCAAAAAAATTACCTAAAAATAAAAAGCGCAGCGATGGTCAGGGGACTGGAGCCGAGCGATAAAAAAGGAATTAACTTGGCCAGAGGACAAGGGAGGAAGCAAAGAAAAACAAGTGACGAGGAGAGAATAACGGGGAGTAGAGGAGAGGAGTTGGTTTAGTTTTGTTCCAAATGCCCCCTTCACAGTCATGTTGTGAGGAATGTGCACGCAACGCCCCCGAAACCTTGAGCGATGTGCAAAGACATGACGTTTCAAGTTCAACACCAGCTGCCTCCCCCCCTACTCGTACCACACACACACACACACACACACACACACACACACAGAGCCTGTCACACATTGCAGTGCAAACACTTCCTTCCTGTTGCTGGTTGAGCCTCTTTTGGTAGCGAGATAAGAGCAAAAGCATGAGATGTATATGAAAGAGGGAAGCAAACTGTGCTGGTTTCGCTGCTCCTCAGATCACAGTGACCACATTTCTTTATTTGGACATTTTATTTTAAAAGTCGAACTGGTTACCACCTGACATTCACCGCAGGTTTGGCGCGCTCACTTTGTGTTTTGCCTCCAACGGCTGACACATTTGCTCTCGTTTCTCTCTCTGTTCTTATCTGGCAGGTTCAGTCAGACCACAGGACAGTTAGCAACCCCCCCACTTCCTCATCGAAAGTCGAAGCAGAGCGAGCGAACGCAAGTTTCCTGTGACGCCTCCGTGTCTCTGGTCAATTGGTTTACTCACGTCCCTCTTCCACTGCGCTGCATGGAAAGAGACCGGCCTCGTCGCATCCTGGGAGGGGGGGAGCTCTCTGGTAGATCTACGCCGACAGTCAACTGTTCATCTGAAGATTCTCTCCAAAACCTGGATCTGTCAGGACACAAAAACACACCAGACCTCAGTTATTAATAGTCTTCAGAGGAAAGCTGCGATGCAGTCACACAGTTAAGGTTGTGTGTGGGTTTGGGATTTTTCCGCCATGCTGCAGCAGTCAGACCTCATCTTTGACTTCGCCAGTGACCATGTCAATATGTCGCAGGTGAGTAAATGTTAGGCAGAGATGCATTGCTTTGTGTGTCGAGGCAGAGCCCACATTTCAATCTGACAAATCTGCTTTCCCTTAATCTCATTTTCTTTGTGTTGCAGTTGGGGGGTTACTTGGATTACCCTGCAGTGATTGTGGAGCAGGTGCCCCATCCACACCTGCTCTCATATACAGGTCTAGCGTGTGAACAGTCACAGACAGAGCATCACCAGCAGCTGTTCAAAGGTCAGTGCAGACAACACACACACATTTCTTTACCTGTCACGGTTAATGACTGACGCTCACCTGTTGTGCAATAGTCCAAACAAACGGTTATTAAACTCTCTAAGCTTTGTTCTGTTCAAGTTCTAGGAAATACAAATTCTCATCAGTCAAATAAGCCTGGGACTGCACATGCGCAGTCGCAACCGTCGTCGCACATGGCCCACCCTCTGCAAAGATTCAGGAAGTGAAACAAAACATCACTGGGCTGCTTGTCCCTATGAAAGACCGTTAATGAATCATATTAGGATGTAGACGTGGTCGATTCGGGCTACAGCACACATGCTATGGCTTGTTCCTCACCAATGCTGGGAATTAAAAGTAAGTTATATCACTGTATCGGGTTGTTTTTTCCCCCAAACTTTATTGTGGTTGAAGCGAGCAGTTGGAAGTTGGGCATGGCGAGGCTCGGTTAACTTAGCTAACGGTGATTGACACCGCTCGCGGACTGTCATGTTCAATTAACCTCAACATTACAACCGTGTCTGGGCAACAACTTACCCGCCGTGTTTCTTTAAGCACGGCTATTTGTTTTGAGTGGTCGTTAGCTGGTTTTTCTGGGCGGTAGAACGTGTTTGGACCCACGACACACAGCTGTTAGCTAGCAGATGCTTTCGAGCTGCCTGCCTCACAGCCTGCTCACGTCACATAAATAAATGCGCACAAAACAAATAGTCCTTTTTGAAAATACTTTGGTTCCGAGGCATACATGTGGTTATGTTCACAGAACATTATTTATTTAACTGAAGTTCAATGCGTGAAGTGAAACAGTAACGTTAGGTTATTAAGCTTTGCAGTGTGGAGCCACGGCAAATAATTAATAAACGTCCTGCTCAATCATCCGTTTGGATCATTAAAGGATAAGTTCACCCAAACTCCAAAAATAACATTTTCTCTCTGTCTTAGCTCTCGTGCAGTGATTCCTTACCCCGCGACAGGTTGAGGAGCAGCTATTTGGAGCTGTCTAATATATTAATTGCCACAACAACAAGCACACCTCACTTTCTTACCAACATGAATCAGTTAGAGCACCTCGGCCCCAAAATTTGTAATTGAAAGTGTGTGAAAACTAGTTAGCAAGCAGCAAAGAGTTAGTCAAAAGTAATGGATACATGTGAATGCAGACTTGACCGAATCTAATGGAAAAACAAGGCTACGATCAAACATTGACAGATACTGGATCACTTTGTCTTTTATGAATTCATATGTGCAGCCACAGATCCATCTCAACCACAATTTTCTCTGTGGTGAAATACAATTGAACAAATCCAGGAAAGCCCATCCCCTCTTTTGAGGGGGTACAATGAAGGGGGACTTGAACCCATCTGATCGGGCTGTAGTCTAATCCTCTAATCACAACAACTGTAATATTATATGCTGTGATTATTATACATCCATCCATCCATCCATTTTCCTCCGCTTATCCGGTGTCGGGTTGCGGTGGCAACAGGCCAAGCAGGCTGACCCAGACCTCCCTCTCACCGGCAACATGTTCCAGCTCATTCTGGGGGATCCCGAGGCGTTCCCAGGCCAGCTGGGAGATGTAATCCCTCCAGCGTGTTCTGGGTCTTCCCCGGGGTCTCTTCCCAGTTGGACGTGCCTGGAAAACCTCCAGTGGGAGGCGTCCAGGAGGCATCCTAATTAGATGCCCGAACCACCTCAGCTGACTCCTTTCGATGCGAAGGAGTAGCGGCTCGACTCCAAGCTCCCTCCCGATGACCGAGCTCCTTACCCTATCTCTAAGGCTGAGCCCGGCCACCCTACGGAGGAAGCTCATTTCGGCCGCTTGTAGCCGCGACCTTGTCCTTTCGGTCACGACCCAGAGTTCGTGACCATAGGTGAGGGTAGGAACGTAGACCGAGTGGTAAATTGAGAGCTTTGCCTTCCGGCTCAGCTCCCTCTTCACCAAGACGGTCCAGTGCAGCGCCTGCTTTACTGCTGCAGCTGCACCGATCCGTCTGTCGATCTCCCGCTCCATCTTACCCTCACTCGTGAACAAGACCCCGAGATACTTGAACTCCTTCTCTTGAGGTAGGCATCCGTCCCCACCTGGAGGGAGCAATCCACCGGTTTCCGGCACAGCACCATGGCCTCAGATTTGGAGGTGCTAACTCTCATCCCCGCCGCTTCACACTGGGCTGCAAACCGCCCCAGTGAATGCTCGAGGTCTTATACATCATGATATGAAAATATTAATGGAAACCAGAAAGGAATCCCTGCTTTTGTGTAGGCTTACTCATCAAATGAAATGCCTAACATATCGCGGAGATTTATGGCTAGATATCTCCAGCAGTGAGAGGATGTTTAGTGTTATTTGCCATCAAGCTTTGTCCTCGGTGCTTCTCGCGTTTGATTATCCTCTTCCTAAATTCCATCCTCCTCCGCCTGCTAAAAGAAATTTTTTGTGTGTTCCTCCCTTCTCTGTCGTCTGCAGTGGAGCAATGTGAGAGCGGAGAGGAGGAGACCATGGAGACACTTGTCGCTGCCGACTCGCTCCTCAACATGGACTGCCCTGACACCCTCTCCCTGGAACACTACTGTAAGCACACACACAGCCGAGTTAGCGCTGCTCACATGCACACTAACAGAGTGGAGAAGATTCCCCGATAAAACATCACCGCCGCTTCCTCATGTAGGACATGTCTGACTGCGAGGTGTTATTTTTAGACACAGTGGTCACAGTGCTGTTCTCTCTCATTAAATCTGCTTATGCCCCCCCTCCCCCCACAGCCCAGACCTTCTTACCATCACTGGGTGATGTCATCACTACTCCTGTTACCCAGGTGACTGTGTCAGCGGAGGGGATTGTGGGAGCTTTTGACCCGCCACAGTGGCACTCGTTGCACACAAACAAGCCTGCGGCACAGCTGCAGTCCAAAAAAAGAGGTCCGTTACCTTCTGGGTTATCATCTTATCTGAATTATGGTTTTTCTGTGAATAATTGTGTGATTTTATTGGATTACTTGCAAATTACCTGCTTTTATTCTCCGAATGCTCAGGGAGGAAAGCTCGACATAGAAGGGCAGAGTCTCCCACACCAGACATTATAGTGAAGAAGGACAAATACAACAAAGGTATTGTGACACACAACAAAATTAGCATGCGTGAATGTGATGGCAATTCTACATGTTGGTCTCTCGTGTCTGAATTCATTTTCTGTGTTGTTTCTCCGTCTTTCCTTTTCCATCATGTGTCCCCGTGTTTGTGCTTCAGGAGGAAACACGCTGTACCTGTGGCAGTTCCTGATGGAGTTGCTGCAGGACCGACAGGTCTGCCCCCGCTACATTAAATGGACCAATCCCCACGCAGGAATCTTCAAGTTGGTCAACTCCAAAGCAGTGGCCCGACTCTGGGGCAAACACAAGAACAAGCCGGATATGAATTATGAGACGATGGGCAGAGCACTCAGGTAAACGACCAAGAGAGGGCTAAGGCGACTCAAAAATGCCATCGCTGTATGTTCTTGTCTTTACTTTGATGGAAATATACGTGTGTGTAGATGCGTGGTTTGTTTTGTTAATGCTGAACCTTTGTGTTCGTGTAGGTACTACTACCAGAGAGGCATACTGAATAAGGTTGAAGGCCAGCGTCTTGTCTACCAGTTCACCTCGCTGCCCAAAGATATGATTTATATCACAGATGGAGATGGCATGAAAGAGGAAGACGACGACGATCACGACGACATCAGTGGCAACGATGAGGCCGTGAGTGAAGACTCGGATGCCAGCACTATACCGTCTAGTGACCAGTCGGTTGAGGAGGAAGACTCCCACCTGCCACAGAAGAAAACGTCCTCCTGCTCCTTCCGAGGCCCGCCCACCCAGCGGACCAGGCCGGCCCCCAGGCCCTCAGGCCAGCGCGAAACCGTCCTGAGGCCCGCCAGCACCAGCCTGATCCAGGAGCAGCATTTGCCTATTGTGTCCGCGGAGATGCTGCGAAGCCTGCAGAACCTGCAGAAGGTCCAGTCCCTGCAGCCCGCGGGCCACGCCTCGGTCTTCAAAACGGCTCAGCTGCTGGGGAGTCTGTGCGAGCGGCAGGCCGCCGCTGAGACGGCTGTGGACGGTGAGGGTGCGCGGGAGACGCCCAATGGAAGGTCACACCCGGGACCCAAAACTTCCCAAGTGGAGGCTCCACAGCTGGTGCCCCTAACTAGCTCTCACCAATAAAAAAAAAAAAGCTATCGCCCCCCCCAGAAACGCACACGCACTCCACTGACTCAGGACCAGTTACAGAGCTGCGCTTTGCTGCTGCGGCGACGTCTGCACACCAGGGCCTGTGTTTGTTAAGAGTGGGAGTCTTGATCTAGGATCATTTTTTTTATATTATGAATTTGTAACAAAAGTAATTCTAGATCACTACTTTCCTCCCTGAGTTGGCAGCAAACCCACAACATTTCACAGTTCACTATCCCAAGAGACTTCAAAAGCTCACGTGCTTTGTCTCAGCCTTCTGTCCTGCTCTCTAGCCGTTAACCCCACAAGACACCAAAGACAGACATGCACTGGAACCTACAGCCTCTCTGCACCTTCTGCAGATACACCCTCTGCTTGCACTTCACCTCCAGCGTCACGGAGCAAATAGTCCGATCAGTACACTGTGCCCTCCTTCTCTTCCTTTTGCTCTCGCTCTTTCCCACTCTTTGTGTTTTTTTGTTTTCTATCACATGCTGAATCATTCCTCTGCCTTGAAAATGGCTTTGCACTAATGTTTATCCCTGCTGTACATTTTCTTCTCTTAAGTGCCTGATGATCTCAGTCCATCCTGTCCCTGCTTCCTGTGTTCCTGATAATCAAGAGGTTATTGAGGGAAAACATTCCATATTATTGTTGTTATTATTTTTTAAGATTACTGAATTATGTTTGTGTTGTGAAATGTTGAAAACAAGGGATCACTGTTATTTCTAGAATAGTAATTGAGCACTGCTGCTGTTTGTAGTTGATGTATCTACTCGGTGGACTTTCCTTTTGTCGACAATCACCAGTGAAATGGCCTTTTATTTAGCTGCTCCTGTAGAGTCGTACAGCTACTATTTAGCCTTTCTCCTCTGCATACGTTCTCTTTAGTTATTACATGTGTATACACAAATGCATTTATGGACCTCTGAAGCCTTGATATCTTTATGTATTGTGTGTCATATACTGTGTCTGTGAACTTGCTTGACTTTGTGCCTTGTTGCCATTTTCTCCCTCAGGTTCGTACAAACTTTTGTTTTTCTGCACCGACTATATGCTCTATGCAAGGAGTAAAACGGCTGGCCCTTTTTATAATGAAGTAATGCTAGAAGTAGTGTTTTCCCTTCAGTTGATCGGAGTTCAGCCTCACACACCTCACTCCAAATGAAAACTGAGCTTTCAAGATTCAAGCGGACTTCTGTGAGGCTGAACCTGGTTTGGGAGACGCTTGTAACTGCCTTTGTCCCCAGAGAACCTTATGCAAAACTGTTTTCACTTTATTACCGATTAAGCCATTTATTTGGAAATCCCCTCGCTTTTCCTTATCTGGAGCTCTTTTGATACTGTAAGTTTCACTGATATTATATAAGCTTGTAGCGGAGGGAGAGGTGGAGCTTTTGTTGCCTTACTCTGGTGTGTTTGCTTTCATGCAGTCCAGAGGTGTTGAAAAGATAATGGTCTATTATATAAAATAAACTTAATTTTGTCGTTGTCTGTCTAAAATTCATCACCAACTCATTTACTCACCCGCATACAGTACTGTAGTACTGCGCTTAAATACTGCATTTCTTAAACATATATTCACTATCATAAATAATCATTAATTGTGTATAATAGACTATTAAACAATTTGAGCATTTTTTTTGCACTATTGTTCAGTTAGGTAATTTAATATTATTCTATTTTATTGTATATTGTGCATTTGAAAAGAAAGAAAGAAGAAACATTCCTTTATTAGTCCCACAGTGGGGAAATTATTCTCTGCATTTGACCCATCCCTGTATATATAGGGAGCAGTTTGTTATTTGCATTTGATATTTAATATTTTTTTCTCTGCTATTTTTATTCACCTGTACCATAATTGTAAACATAAACAGGATTAATAAACTAACTATATTTTAATGTAGACTGGTGAAGAGGGTGCTAATTTGACACACTTTGTATCCTACTACATACTATAGTTTCATCTATAATGATACATCAGATTATATAAAATGATTCTTGTTTTGTCAGAAATATTTAGATCTATATCAAAGTATGTAGTTACCATAGCTGTCAAAATGTAGTGGAGTAAGAAAAATTCCCTTTGAAATGGAGTGGGGAATAGAGTAGCAGTATTGGAAGAAGCATTCAGATAATTTACTTAAGTATATGTACCAATACCACAGCATATACTTTGTTAAATACTCAAGTAAAAGTCCTGCATTCATAACTGTACTTGAGCAAAAGTATAGCATCAAAATATACTTAAAGTACAGATAGTGAAAGTACTCATGATGCAGACTGGCTCATTTCAGAATAATTTACATTATATAATTGCATCATAATTATTGACACATTAATGTGTACATCACTTTAATGGTAACGGTGAGGGTCATTTTATTTACATTATATTGGAGAATTTCCCTACAGGGATCAAAACAATCTATTTCCTGATCATATTTTGTATTAAGATATTATATCTGTATCGGCAAAGTAACTAGCACATAAACCTGTAAAATATATAACATGCAGCAGGAAGTACAATATTTCCCTGTGAATGATAGTGGAGTAGAAGTAATAAGTAGCATGAAGTCCAAGTACCTCAAAGTTGTGCTTAAGGAATGGCAGCCCTTTTTGCACGAGTGTATTTTCATGTCAGAGGTTTGCTGTCATATGAGAACGTTGTCATGTAATGACTCCTCCAGGCCGTTAGGTGGAGGTGTGAGCGGTGTGCAGTCGGATGTTGACAGGCCTGCTGCTGGGCTCGAGCTGAGGCACCTTGCGCTATCACGTTTCCAGAAGTCTCCACGTTTTGCTAGAATCTTCCTGACACTTCAGAAAGACTGTCCACATCCGCAGCAAATCCATGGCAACCGAAAGGCAAGACCAGCTCATCAAATTAATTCCCATTTATTACTTTTTCATTAATTTGTTTCTCTGCGGTTGGTTTTAACGGTTGGTCTCTCCTTTGGTTTTAGCAGGTTCCCCGATATCTTCATTGACGAAGATCCACAGAAAGCTCTGGAGGTAAACATTAGCGTTAGCTAGCCATACACACATACTGAAAATCAGGGTTCTCTGTCTTATCACATTAACCGTAAAGTGTTCTGACTAGCTGTTTTACAGAGGGAATTGAGTGCAGTGTTATTAATGTTAAAGTTTCCGATGTTAGCACCGATTTTTACACTAACTAACGCTAGCTAAATAGCTAAGTTAGCTAACGTTTTCTGCTAGCATCACTTAGCAAGCAAGAAACACTTGGTCTTCACGTGTTATTACTAGTTAGATAACGTTGGTGATAAGCGTTCAGTTTTCTTAGATATGTTAGGCTGTCTTCATGGTATTCTGAAACATGTTTAACCTGAAGTCATTAACGAATTCTACCGTTATTTACTAGTTTGAATGACTTGTTAACACTCATTTACATGTCCTTCTAGTTATGTGGTCATTAATAAATGTATGAAGGAGCCTGCGTTATGATATCTAATTTATGCTACTTTCAAAAGTCGTTAGTGGTGTCAGTGTAGCGAACAGGAGACGGAACATGTCAGCCGGTGTCAGGTTTCTTTGTAGTGTTTCTACTTTCCCGTCATCATCACAACGCTAGCTGAATCGAAACAGTACCGTAAGATGTCCATTTAAAATCCACCTTTCTCCTTGTAGGCACTTGATGAGGCCTTGCAAGGAGACTCCAACAACGCTGAGTGGTTTTGCCAGCGCGCCTACGCCCACATACTTCTCCGAAACTACAACTGTAAGTATGTGGACTACATGTTAGTCAGAACACAATAGCAAATGCATGATTTAGTTTTTTTCAGAAAATATAAATGTTTTCAAATTGTGTGTTGTTGCCTTTTTGGTAACTGCCCACAATAAGTGAGTATAACGTTGTTTCTTGTGAGATCCTTGATTTAATAATCTGGTACCAGTCATATAAAGTTTCTAAGTGATACAGGCTGGATGAACATATGTGTATGATAAACAAAGTGTTGTTTCCTCTTTTTTTTTTTGCAGGTGCTGTTGATGATGCCAAAAAAGCCCAGCAGCTAACACCGAGCCTTCCCCTTGCTTTCATGCGAACAGGGTGTGTACTATAATATGATCAAGGAAATGAGAGGAAATCTCACTTCTTTTTTTATTTTTTTGGTGCATGATCTCAACTGAAGCTCCTGTTTGTTTAGCAAAATCTGTAATATAAAGTTGTTTGATAAACACAAGTGGTTACATTTGACTTTTTCACAATCACATCTGCTATGAAAATGAAACACAATATTCCTGTTGCTGGAGTTAAAATCATATTAAGGCCGATGTCCATGAGAAGATCTGTTCTCTCCTACCAGCCCTAATGTTCATGTACAATAATTGTTGTAGTTATTCAACTTCTTTTAACAAGGTACGGGGTCCAAATTGTGTATGTCGTAGGAGGTCGCTTTTATTTTCTTATTACTTTATTAAGTATATGTGGCATGATTTTGTCTCCCACCTGCAGAATAGCAGAATACCACCTGAACCACTATAAGTCAGCACATGCAGCTTTCACTCAGGGACAACAACTGGATGGTGAGTACAAACCTCCCATCATCCCACTCTCTATCAACTACTGTCTGCAGCACTGTGCTGTCTGTCTCACTCTCCTCGTTGAATACAAAGGGATGAACCTGTGTTTAGCTTTAGGGATAAAATGCAATACAGTATGAATTCTAAACGTTCCAATTTTATTAATTGCTCACACTTATTTATTTATTTATTTACCTTTATTTAACCAGATGAGTCAATTGAGGACAGGTTCTCATTTACAGCAACAGGAGGCAATAAAACATGGAAACATCTCAATCAATCTCATACGAAGATTGAAAGTTGATGCGTGCAGTCTTCTTCTTCTTCACTGCCTTTGTTGGCTTATTTCTGCACATCTCTGTGTGTCACCACCACCTGCAGATCAGTGGAATAGTGCACGTGTTTTCTTTTGTGCGTGCACGAGATACATAAAATGAGAAAAAAACAGCTCCACAGTACTACTAGAATTTATAAAAAAAAAAAAAAGAAAGAAGAGAGGCTGTGTTTATTTAGAGCCTAAAGCATTACGCCTACATTTTTATTTATGATCACATGTCTTTATGGAATCAGTTAAGCAGGTAAAGCAAGAGTTTTTTGTTTTTTTTCTTCCTGTGCATTTTACTTCCATATGACAACATGGTGTCGAGCCTGATGAACCTGAATGTTGGCTATACTACTGTAGCTGGGTTTTCAAGAGGAAGATAACAAAGTGGAAGCTTGTTTTGAGGAGAGGTTGTGCAAAGAGACCCGCCGTTGCCACTGTAGTATAAATGCGTCTATAAAGGAGTACAAAGACAGCCAAATGGGGTTGAACTCATGGCAAACAACGTTATGCTACATTTATTCTACTGAATGGAATGGATTGTGGATCAGGAAAAGCTCATGTGATGGAACGCCAGAGCGGCACGGATGCTCAGCTGTCTTATGACTGGAACCGCGTGCACGACCGCCTCAAGTCCACAGCTGTCTGCGGGACGCTGAAAGCGCGACTGAGGCTTCAGTAATTGATTAATCGTTTTGGTCCAGAAATGGTGAAAATGGGATGAATAGGTTGATGGCTTTGCCGGTTTTCAGTTAAGTAACATCAGGCCACATGACGATGTTACAAAAGAGCTGTTGTGCACTTTGGGCTTAAAGACAATAAATATCCCAGACTGGGTTTGGCTCGAGGGATCACACCCAGATGTCAGACAATGATTAAACAATTTTAAATCTACAGCTACAAGTGTTACTAAACGTCCAGATTACGAAATGTGTCTTTCCACATTGCTCACATCTGTAGTCATTGTCAACCTAGACACTAATACCTCTGTTTCAATATCAGTTGTGACCAACATCTCATTAATGTCTCTTACTACAACTACAGTGTCTCTGTTCATCAAGCTGATGCTCCCCCAAAACATGAACAAACATAGATTACATACAAAGTCCATGCACAGACGCGATGCGACTGGAGTGACGCAAATTGGCGATGGCGCGGATTATGCAAATTTGCGCCTATCGCATGAGTGTGTGGCGCTGTGGCGCGATAGCCTATCAGCGTTGAGATGCTCCCCCTGTCATCACTGTCGTCTGCCGTTGTTGAATCAGGAAACAAATACTGTAGCCGTCTGTGTTCACCCAGAGCTCCACGATACCTCATATTAGTAGAGACCGGACCAAACTATGTGTATATGTACAAACAATGAATCGTCAAATGTTTACACTCGATCCTTTTATTGTAGTAACGTTTATTGTTTATTATTTATCAAAACAAGGGAGAACATGTCTTCTTTTTTTGTGATTTCCACAGTTTCTGACACATCTTTTGAGATCTGGATCAAGCGGTGTGAGGAGATGATGGGAGGTAAGTAGATGAACTGAAACTTCTATAACGTCCATGTTTTAATGTTAATGTTAGAGCAGTATTTAGAGCTGACGTTGGTCTTTAATTGTAGATTCATGAGGATATTAAACAGTCTTCATTAAATCGTTTTAATGTATTTAAAATGTCCAAAGATGTTAAATATTGGTACACAATATGGCCTGTGGCGGTTTTAGTTAAAAAATAAATAGATAGTTTCAGACGTCCAGATCCATCACCAGTTGCAGTCTAACTCCTCTGTGCTATTTACTCGGCACTATTAAACACTGAACTAAATGGCACAGTCAGCGAGCTGATGGGCCCATCTGATCAAACAAATGAGCTCACACACATCCAATGAATCTACGGCGCGAGTGTTTAGGCAGCGCTGCGCAGTCCAATAAAAGATGCATGCCGTGTCGGGCTGGTGTGTTTCTGTTTGCTGGTGATGCCCGGGCCCTCTGGATCATCTCGAGTAAACAAGAGCACCAGTTTTGACAAACACGCTTCACACCCGCATGCACGCATTCTCCCGGGAGCGGCATGATTCATCAGAGTTAACGTTACTGATGTTTGAGAGGCCCCGATGAGACCCAACTCCTTCATAGGCCTTCTCACAGACGCCATGCGCGCACACACACACTCATAGACAAATGCACACACACACACCCACTCACTCACACACTCGCACACACACACACAGACAAATGCACACCAGGGTGTATATCACCCCGTCCCCTAAAACTTGAAAGTACCCTACTTGCGTCTGCTCACACTCACACCAGCAGCACAACTTTTTTTTCTTTCAGTGACGGTGTGTTTACCACCAACCAACCAACACACACACACACACACACACACACACACACACACACACACACACACACACACAGCACCTGGTTATTCCATCACATGTGGCACCCTGCTGGTTTAAAAACACACAAACTGTGACACAGTCTTTTTCTCCAAACACACCCGCCCCTCCTCACCGTTTCAAACGCGACCTCATTAAGATGACTTTAACACTCCTCTCCTCATCTCATCGCTCTCTTCCCTCTCTGTGGTCTGTCTGTCTCTCTCTCTCTACACACTGACACACGCACACACAAATGACTTGGAGATATTCAGTCAAAGGCATTGTTAGACCTCCTGTCTGTCTGTCTCTGTCTCTCTCTCTTTCTCTCTGTCTGTCTCTCTTTCTCTCTGTCTGTCTCTCTCTCTCTCTCTCTGTCTCTCTCTCTCTCTCTCTCTCTCTCTCTCTCTCTCTCTCTCTCTCTCT